GGGACCCCAAACTGCCCCTGGGACCCCCAGACTGCTCCTTGGCTATGTTTCAGCCATGTCCCCTGTCCCCAGCCCTGTCCCCACCCCTGTGACCAGGAGGTGACACCGCTGTCCCCCTGTCCCCAGGGATCCTGCCCAACCAGTACAACCCCCCTCCTGTCCCCATCCTTGTCCCCATGGGTGTCCCCTGTCCCAGCCCTGTCCCCAGCCCTGGTGACACCATTGTCCCCATGTCCCCAGGGATCCTGCCCAACCAGTACAACCCCCCCCCGGGGCTGTGCTGGGACCAGCTCTGCACCGACCCCCCCGTGGTGGACGGGGACGGCCCCGAGCGCAACGTGGACACCGTGGTCACCTCGTTCCTGCGGGCTGCGGCTGCCCAGGTCCTCACAGGGGACAATGGGACACCTGGGGAGGGTCACAAAGGTCCCTGTCCCCTGGGATGGGGGTCACAAAGGTCCCTGTGGTCACCTCCTTCCTGCAGGCTGCGGCCGTGCAAGTCCTCACAGGGACATGGGGACACCCATGGGGGGCTGGGACACCTGGGGAGGGGTCACAAAGGTCCCCGTGGTCACCTCCTTCCTGCAGGCTGTGGCTGTCCAGGTCCTGACAGGCACACAGAGGGGCTGGGACACCTGGGGGGGTGGGTCACAAAGGTCCCTGTCCTCCTGGGGTGGGGGTCCTGAGTGTCCTTGTTCCCTGGGATGGGTTTTTGGGTGTCCCTGTCCCCTGGGATGGGATCCCCAGCTGTCCCTGGCTGTCCCTGTCCCCCTGGGCGGGGGTCTCACGCCCTGCCCCCTCCCCAGGCCCAGCAGTACCGCACCAACCACATCATCATGACCATGGGCTCCGACTTCCACTACGAGAACGCTCACCTGTGGTTCAAGAACCTGGACAAGCTCATTGCCCACACCAACGCCCGGGTGAGGGGCTGTCCCCGACCCCCCCATGGTGTCCCCAAACCCCCCCTGATGTCCCAACCTCCCCCCGATGTCCCCAAACCCCCCCTGATCTCCCTGTGTCCCCAGCAAGCCAACGGCAGCCGCGTCCACGCCCTGTACTCCACCCCCTCGTGTTACCTGCGGGAGCTGCACCGCGCCAACCTCACCTGGTGAGGGCGGGGCCCAGGGGCAGGGGAGGGGCCCAGGGGCACGGACGGACAGACAGACAGACAGACAACCCACCCCCCCAGGCCCCTGAAGATGGACGATTTCTTCCCTTACTCGGATGGGCCCCACCAGTTCTGGACCGGCTATTTCAGCAGCCGCCCAGCCCTCAAGGGCTACGAGCGCCTCAGCAGCGGCTTCCTGCAGGTGGGGGCACACCTGGGGGAGCCCTGCAGGTGGGGGCACACCTGGGGCACCCCTGCAGGTGGGGGCACCCCTGGGGCACCCCTGCAGCTCTTGGGGACCCCCCTGAAGCACCAATGCCACCCCCCAGGTCTGCAGCCAGCTGGAAACCCTGGCGGGACCCTCGGTGCGGGACGGTCCCTACGGGCCTGGGGACAGCTCGGTGCTCCGTGAGTACCTGGGCACACCTGGAGGGGACCTGGGGACCCCCCAAACCCCCCTGACACCCCTGTTTTACCTGCCCCAGGTGAGGCTGTGGCTGTGGCCCAGCACCACGACGCCGTGGCCGGCACAGAGAGGCAGCACGTGGCCGATGACTACGCCCGGCAGCTGGCCAAGGGCTGGGACAGCTGCCAGGTGAGCCCCACACCTGCCCGGGGGTTCTGCTGGGGTCTGGGGGACAGGGGCAGGTCCCAGAGACCCCTCCCCAAATTCTGGCCTCCCTGACAGGTGCTGGTGGCCAACGCTCTGTCCGTCCTTGGGGGCACCAAGGAGCCCCTGGTGTTCTGCAACGCCCTCAACATCAGCGTGTGCCCCCTCACCGAGGCCACCCCTCACGTGAGCACCTTTTGGGGGGGGTTTGGGGGTCCCCAGGGACTGACACCCCCCCTCACACCGTGTGACCCCTCCCCAGTTCACCGTGATCATTTACAACCCCCTGGCCTGGGATGTCACCTGGCCCGTGCGGCTGCCGGTCAGGGCCACCTCGTACAGTGTCACCGACCCCCAGGGCCAGCCCGTGGCCAGCCAGGTGAGCCCCCTGCCCAGCTGTACCCCCTGTCACCTCCTGTGACCCCTGACATGTCCCTGTCACCCCTCCCCAGGTGATCCCCGTGTCCGGTGTCACCCGGCGGCTCCGGGGCGGCGCCGGGGGGGCCCCAGGGGAGCTCCTGTTCCAGGCCTGGGCCCCCCCTTTGGGCTACAGCACCTTCCAGGTTAAGCAGCTGAGCCCGGGCAACACCTGGGACACCCTCAGGTGGCCCTTGGGGACCTCCTGGGACACCTCAGGTGACGCAGAGCCACAGATTGAGAACGAGGTAAGGGGACAGCAAGGGGGCATCAAGGGGACATGGTGGATTTGGGGGGGTGGCTTTGCCCCAGCTCCCAGTTAAACCAGTTAGGGGGTCACTGGGTGACCTGGGGAGGTGGGAAGGGGGTGACCCACCTGTGTCCCCCCCCCCAGCACCTGCGTGTCCGCTTTGACCCCATCACGGGGCACCTGCTGGAGATCCAGAACCTGCCCAAGGGCATCTCCCTGCCCGTCTTCCAGAGCTTCTACTGGTGAGTCTGGGGGCGTTTGGATTTGGGGAGGGGTCCCAGGTGAGGGAGGGGATCCCCCTGACCCCCCCCGACCCCCAGGTACAACGCCAGCTCCGGGGACGGGCAGAGCCCCCAGGCCTCAGGCGCTTACATCTTCCGGCCCGTCGCCCCCACGCCCATCCCCGTGGCCAAACGCGCGGCCACGCACCTGATCAAGGTGGGCTGGGGTCCCTGGGGCCTCCCCTGGATTTGGGGAGGGGTCTCTGCAGGTGCCACTGAGCATCCCTGTCCCCCACAGACGGCGCTGGTGCAGGAGCTGCAGCAGAACTTCTCCGAGTGGTGCTCGCAGGTGCTGCGGCTGCGCCCGGGGCAGCCCTACCTGGAGCTGGAGTGGACAGTGGGACCCATCCCCGTGGGGTGAGCCCGGGGAGGGGTCTGGGGACCCCCTCACACCTGTCCTGGGTGGGGTGACACGCCTGTGCTCCCCTCCTCGCCGCAGGGACGGGACGGGCAAGGAGGTGATCAGCAGGTTCGAGACGCCGCTGCGCACGGCCGGGCGCTTCTACACCGACTCCAACGGGCGCCAGGTGCTGGAGCGCAGGTGAGGGGCGCAGGTGACCCCTGGGACCACCCCAAGGGGCTCATGTGACTCCCCAGGGGCTCAGGTGTCCCCTGTGACCCCCCCTGCCCCCCCCAGGCGTGACTACCGGCCCACCTGGAACCTGACCCAGACTGAGCCTGTGGCCGGGAATTATTACCCTGTGAACACCCGGATCTTCATCAAGGTACCTGGGCACAGCTGGGGCTGGGCAGGGCACACCTGGGCACACCTGGAGGTGGACAGGGCACACCCGAGCCCCGCCCCAGCCTCCTCACACCTGTCCCACCTGCCCAGGACCAGAAGGTGCAGCTGACGGTGCTGACGGATCGATCCCAGGGCGGCAGCAGCCTCCAGGACGGCTCCCTGGAGCTCATGGTGAGCTCACCTGGGCACACCTGAGACACACCTGGGCACACCTGGGCAGGGGCGTGGGCACACCTGAGACACACCTGGGCAGGGCCGACCCCATGGAGGGCACATCTTGGGCACACCTGGGTAGGGGCGCACACCTGGGCACACCTGTGCCATCACCTGCGCCCCTCCAGGTGCACCGGCGGCTGCTCCACGACGACAGCCGGGGCCTGGAGGAGGCGCTGGACGAGCCAGGTGCGGATGGGCGGGGCCTGGTGGTGCGGGGGCGGCACCTGGTGCTGCTGGACACCGTGGGGGCCTCACCTGAGCAGCACCGGCCGCGGGCACAGGAGATGGTGACACCGCCCACCGTGGTGCTGGCACCGGGCACCGGGCCTCACCTGAGACAGGTGAGTGTGGGGGGTGGTGTGGGGGGGTCACCTGTGACAGGTGAGCAGGGTGGGCTCTCCCCCAGCCTCACCTGTCCCTGTCCCCCCGCAGGTGTCGGGGCTGCGCCGGGCGCTGCCCCCCAACGTTCACCTGCTGTCGCTGGAGCCGCGCGGGGCCGGGGCCGTCCTGCTGCGCCTGGAGCACCTGTACCAGGTGGGAGAGAGCCAGAACGGCTCCCGGCCGGCCACCGTGGACCTGACGGTATCTGGGGACAGGGACACACCTGGGGGTACCTGGGGATGGGGGGTGACACCTGGGAGGGGTTCTGGGGTCACCTGTACCAGGTGGGAGAGAGCCAGAACGGATCCCAGGTGGCCACCGTGGACCTGACGGTACCTGGGGACAGGGACACACCTGACGGTACCTGGGCATGTGGGCACACCTGGGCATGGAGGCACACCTGGGCATGGGGGCCACTGCTGGGGGAATCTGAGCTTGTGGGATCACCTGTGCCAGGTGAGAGGGAAGGGACTGTGAGATCACCTGTGCCAGGTGACCATTTTAAGGGTCCTGAGGCTGCTCCAGGGGGGTCCTGGGGGATCTCTGCCCACTCCCCCCCACCCAGGCTGGGCTCTGGGGTCTCTGTGTTATTTGGGGAGGGGTCTCTAACCCGCCCCCCCTCCCCCAGACCCTTTTCTCGGCCTTCACCGTCACCGCGGTGCAGGAGATGGCGCTGGGGGGGGACATCCCCCTGCCCAGCGTGTCCCGCCTGCTCTGGAACACCCCCACAGGTATGGGGGGCTTTGGGGCGATTTGGGGAGGGTCCCGGGGGACCCACCCCCCCCTCACACCCCTGCCGCCCCCCCCAGGTACCCCCAGACCCCGCCGGGGGGCGCGGCTGGACCCTCGGCGCGTGCGGCTGGAGCCGATGGAGATCAGAACCTTCCTGGCCTCCGTGCGGTACCGGGGGCTCGGGGAGGGGCTGGGGGGGCCCTGAGGGCCGCCCCCCACCCCAAAAAACAAACAATGCAAATTTCAAACCTCTCAGATTTGGGTAAAATTTGTTTTAATGGGGAGGGGGCTCGTGCGAGTAACAGCACTGCTCGCCCTGGGTACAGGTGCCCTGTGGGGAGGGGGCAAAAAGGGGGGGTTAAACCTGCCCCAAAACCCCCCCTGTGCCTTCAGACCACCCCTCTGCATTCACAGACTCCCCCCCTGCATTCACAGACCCCTCCTCAAATTCCTGAACACCTCCAAAAATTCCCAAACCCCCTCCCCATATTCCCACCCACCCCCACTTTTATTCCACATTTTATTCCCCCAAATCTTTTCTCTCTTTACTTCCTGTACCCCCCCCTTTATTCCCCACACACCTCCCCACCTATTTTAGGGACCCCTCCCCATATTTTGAGGACCCTTCCCCATATTTTGAGGCCCCCTCCCCACATTTCGGGGACCCCTGCCCACCTCCTTGAAGCGTTTGCAGGGGAATTGTTTCAGCCCGGCCCCGTCCTGGTGCTGCCTCCTCTTGTTCTGGAGCCTCTCCCTCTTCTCCTGCAGGGAGGGGGCGATGCCCCCCCTGGAAAGGACGGGAATGAGGTGGGGACCGCCCTCCAAAATAGGGGAGAGGGCGAGGGACCTCTCCAAAAAAGGGGAGAGGGCGAGGGGACCCCACCCCAAAAGAACAGGGGAAAGGATGAACCTCGAGCTCTTTTTAATGGGGTTTCTGCCCCACCCCGAGTGAAAAAAGGGGGGAATATCTCCCTTAAAAAGGGTGGGGGGTGCCTGAACCCCCAAACCGAGCCCCCCCAGGCCTCACCCGGGCTTGGCCCTGGCCTTGGGACCCCAAAAGGCTTCGGGGTTCTCGGGGAATCGCTTCAGGCCGCGCCTGCGGGAGCTGGGGTTGGCGTCCTCGTGGAGGGCAAAGGAAGCCTGGATCCTGGGAAAGGGGATAAAGGAGGGGAGATCAGGGGCTTTGGGGGGTTGGGGTCTCCCAAAATGGGTCTGGGGTCCCCTCAACCCCACCCTACGTGGGCTCCACCGAGAGGATCCGGGCGGCCGGGCTGGAGTCCGGGAGCCGCTCCAGCTTCACCGGGTGCAGCTTGGCCTGGGAAAAACGGGAAAAAAAATTGGGAAAAATTGGAAAAAGGAGGTTCAGCCTCCCCTGAGGGTGGGGAGGGGTCCCAGAGCCCCCTCCTCACTGACCCAGCAGCGCATGATGTCCCAGAGCACGGCCGGCGGCGCGTCCGTCTTGACGGCGTTGCGGCAGGCGTGGGACAGCGAGACGCGGAACCCCGCGTGCAGCAGGGCTGACCTGGGGGGCACGGGGGGTTTGGGGAGTCCTTGAGGGGTTTGGGGGGCCAGGATGGGGTTTTGGGTGTCCCAAAAGGGATTTGGGCTCCCCGAGGGGTTTTGGGGTGCCCACCTGAGCTGCAGCAGCGCCGGCGTGTTGCTGCGGATGGTGCTGCTCAGCCCGTCCAGCGTGTAGTACAGGGGGACATCGCTCAGCTCCTGCTCCCCAACACCCCCAGGATCACAGCCAGCCCCAACACCGGGCTGTCCCCACCCCCTGAACGCCCCCCTCGGGGTGTCCCCATGGAGGGGTGTCCCCCCAGGGTGTCCCCGGGGCGTCACCTCGGCGATGACGCTCAGCACGCCCCGCATGCGCGGCTCCGTCTGGAAGCGCCCGGGGCTCCTCTCCAGCGCCGCCAGCACCCGCTCCACAAAGCTGGGGTCGTGCAGGGGCTCAGCCCACACCGGGCCCCCCACCTTTAGGGGGGAAAAAAGGGGGTTCAGGGCCCTATTTGGGGGGGCTGAGATTTTGGGGAGGGGGCTGCACGCACCTGGTGCCGCTGCTGGCAGAACTCGCAGGTGGGACCCACGGGTGGCCCTGTGGCTGGGCTGTACTTGAAACTAATAGGGGGAAAAGTGGTTAAACCCCCCCAAAAAAATCGTGGGGACTCCCTGAGGGTCTCGAGGAACCCCAAAATCGCTCCTGTGGGGGATGATGTGGGGGCTGTACCTGGTGCCGTGGCTGGTGGCCCTGCCCAGGCGCTGCAGGTGGTGCGAGCCGCACCCCACGCAGTGAAACACCAGCGCCTGCTTACTGTGGGGAAAAACAGGCTCAGGGCGGGTTTGGGGGTGCACACAGACCCCCCCAAAACTCCCCCATAACCCCCCCAGCTCACCTGGCCGAGGCTTTGACCTTGGCCTGGCCCGTGAAGACCCTGACGAAGACGCGCACGTAGAAATCGGCGCTGACCGACAGCAGCGGCACCACGAAGCGCTGGTAGCAGTTGGCACGCAGGTCCAGGCTGTGCAGGATGATCCTCAGCGCCTGCCAGGGCACAAAAGGGACAAAAGGGGACACGTGCCACCCCCTGCAGCCCCCCCCGAGCAGGGGACCCCCCCAGCACTGACCATCTCGTGGCAGAACTTGCCCTTGAGGGACACGGCGCCGTATTTGCTGTAGCAGGTCTCGGCGCTGTTGCCGGCCATCACCGCCATGTCCGTGCAGGTCACGCACAGCAGGCCTGTGAAAATCGGGGTTCAGGGGGGTCTGGGGGGGGTCCCTGAAGGGGTTTGGGGTCCCCCCAGACTCACCCCCCTCGCTGACAGCCTGCATGGCCGCGTCCAGGAAGGGCACGGAGGGGGTCTGGGGGGTCCCTAGAGGGGTTTGGGGTCCCTAAAGGGGTCTGGGGGTGTCCCAGGAGGGTTTTGGGGTCCCCCCCAGGCTCACCCCCCTCGCTGACAGCCTGCACGGCCGCGTCCAGGAAGGGCGCGGGGCTCCCGTAGGGGTCCAGGTCGATGACGTCGAAGGGCTCACGCTGGGCTTTGCTCTCGTACATCAACATCCTGGGGAGGGGACATGGGGGTCCCCAAAGAGCCCCCCAAAACCATCAGCACCCCCTTTGGGGACACCCACGGGGTTTGAGATCCCCTCAGTGGGGTCACAGCGGGGACAGGGCGGTTCCTGGCACTGTGTGGGGACATCGGGACAAATTCTGGGGGGAAAAGGGTTTGCGGACCCCCCCAGAGACCCCAAACTAGGGCAGGAAGTGTCGGGGTGCCCGTGGGAACACTTTGGGGACACCTCCCAGCAAAGCCCCAGGCCTCATTCCCAGTGGGGTTTGGGGTTACCTGGTGTGATCCCAGTAGGGTTTAAGGGTTTGGGGTCACCTGGCACAATCCCAGAGGGGTTTGGGGGTCACTTGGTATGATCCTAATTGGGGTTTGGGGTCCCCTGGCACAATCCCAATGGGATTTTGGGGGTTTGGGCTCACCTGGCATCGGCCAGCCGGGGCGTCACCAGCCCCCCCACGCCGTTCCTGGCCACGTTCCGCTCCATCAGCTCGGTGGCCCGGGGGGAGCAGTCGCTGGCCACGATGGCCCCGAGCCCCGGAACCTCACGTGCAAAGCGCACGGAGCGGAGCCCCGAGGCTGCCAGCGCCTCCAGCACACGGAGACCACCCTGGGGGGGAAAAATGAACCCCAAAATCATCCTGGGGGGGTCAGGGAACCCCAAAAATCACCCTTGGGTGGTCAGGGGGGGCCCAGGAATCCCAAAAATCACCCTGGGGGGGTCAGAGGGGGCACAGGAGGGTCAGGGGGGGCTCAAGACCTCCCAATGCCCATCTGAGGGTACAGGGGGCTCAGGGGAGGCTCAGGAACTCCCTGGCGGGGGCACAGGGGGGTTCAGGGGATCCCCAGGACCCCTCCCCACCTCGCAGGGCTCTCCCGGCCGCGCCGTCCGCGGGGTCTCGGGGGCTCCGGGGGGGTCCCCGGCCTCGGAGGGGCTCTGGGGGCTCCCCCCCGGCTCCTCCTCGCCTGGAAGAACGACTGGAAAAGAGGGGAGGGGGTGAGGGGACCCCAAAAGGGGCTCTGGGGGGGTAGAGAGGGGATAGGGACCCCCCTCCCAAAGGCGCCGTACCCCGAATTCCTTTGGGGCGCAGCCAGAGCCGAGCGAATTCCGTCAGGACGGCGCAGCTGGAGGGGGGAAAAGGGGTCAGGGACCCTCTGAGTGGGGGGAGAGACCCCAAAATCCCCCCCAGGGCAGCCCAGGACCACAAAACCCGCCCAGGATCACCTCAAAATCCCCGCAGGACCCTCCCAGAGCCCTCCAAGCCCCACCCAAGACCCCCAAAACCCTCCCCAGATCCCCCCAGACCCCTCCAGAGCCCCCCAGAACCCTCCAGGACCCCCCAAAACCTTCCCTAAACCCCCCAAACCCCTCAGGATCCCCCCAGAGCCCCCCAAGACCCTCAAGAACCCCCCCGAGCCCCCCCGGCTCACGTCAGGTCGCGGTTGAAGCCCTGCACGGGGTTGTAGAAAACCTCGTTGGCGCTGGGGAACACGATGGTGGCGCGGCCCTCGGTGATCAGCGTCTCGCCGGTACCGGGGGGGCTCCCCTCGCTCCGGGGGGCTCCGGCCGAGCCCTCGGGGGTCACCCCCGGCCCCTCGGGGGTCGCCACGCCGTTGGGGGAAGCTCCGTCCATGGCGGGGGGCACCGGGGGGGCTCTGCAGAGGGTCCTGAGTGCGGCGGCTGTACCGGGGAGGGTCACGGGGGGGTCACGGCAGCACCGGAGCCGTTTTGGGGGAAAAAAGGCGCAAATTGGGGTCGGCCCCGGAGGGCGGGAAAAGGGGAGGAGACCCCCGCGGAAAAGGGGAGGGAGGGGCGGGGAATGGGAGGGGGGGAGGACACGGAACCCCCGTGAAAAGGGAGAGACACCCCCCCCCCCCCTCCAAAAACCGGGACCGGAGGTCGCACCGAGCCCCCCACCCGCCCCGCCGCCGCGCCCTTCCCAGCACGTGGCAAGGCCGGGGGGGGCGTTAAATCCCCGGTGTGTCCCCCCTGTCCCCTCCGTGTCCCCCCCCACGCTCACCCGCGCGTGCCGCCCCGCGCATTCCCCTCACATGGGCGCCGCCATCTTGCGCCGCTCACGTGACCACGGCGGCCGCGCAGGGCCTGAATCCTCCGCCCGCCGCTCCGAAACGCCATCCCGCGGCATTGCCCGCCGGCGGCGCGGGGAGGAACCGATCCCGCCGTACCCCGCCCGAGAGGCACGGTGCGCCAGCACCCCGCGCATTTCCTCCGCGCTCCCCACGCCTTCCCCGCCCGTTCCCCGCTCGTTTTCCGCTTCTCCCACCCGTTAAACTCCGCGTGGTCGCCGTGGGGCGCGGGTGGATGATTCGGCGCTCGGCTGGTCGCGCAGGCGCGGGCGGCGCGCTCGGCGCTCGGCCGGTCGCGCCTGCCGCACAATGAATGGCCGCTGAGCGCGGCGGCCCCGGGAGCGGCTCCGGCAGCGGCCGCGGCCCCAGCGCAGCGCCCCCGGCCCCCGGTACGGCACCGAGCGCCCCGCCCCGCCCCGCGCCCGCCCCCTGCCCCTTGCACCGGCTCCCCGGGGCTCCGCTTCCCTCCCGCACCGGGCCCGGTAACAGCCCCCCCCCCCCCCCCCCCCCCCCGCCCGTTCCCCCGGGCCTGCGGCGCCTCCCTCCCCCTCCGCGCTGGGGATCCCCCGGTTCCCCCGGGGTGACGCTGCTGCTGCTGCCGGGAATGGGAGGGGGGGGGGCTCTGTCCGTGCCCCCTCCGCTGTGGGGATTGGGGTTCCCCCCCTCCCCCATTGCGGACCCCCTGGGTTGGGGGCTTTGGGACCCCTCCCCAAAATTTGGGGTCCCCCCGCTGTCACCTCGGGGGGTTCGGGGGTCCCGTCCCTCCCCTGCTGGGCACGGGGGGGCTCCGCTCTCCCCAGGCCAGGGAGGGGGGTCCCTTTGGGTGACCCCCCCACCACCACCTCGTGTTTTGGGGTCCCTCTGCTCCTCCCCTCCCCCAGCTGGGGGATTCACCGCCCCCCCCCTCCCAAAATTTAGGGACCCCCCCCATTTCCCCTCTGGGGTCTCCCCCAGTTCCCAGGTCAGACTCGGGGGTCTCCTTTCCCCCCCATTTTGGGGGTGTCTCCCCCATACCCTGGGGCCCCCGGGGGGGTCCCCGCCCTGCTCTGCCCCCTCCCCAATTCCCTCAGAGCCCCCCTGGCCCTGGCGGGGACCCTCGAGCCTGAGGGGGGATTTGGGAGGGCTTGAGGGGGGGATTTGGGTTGGGGGCTTTGTGGGACCCCTGGCTTTCCTCTGTGCCCCCCTCTGTCCCTGCCCCATTCCCGCTGTCCCTGTTCCTTCATGTCCACCCCATTCCCTGTCCCTGTGTGTCCCCCACGTCCTGTGCCCATGTCCCTACACCCCAACACCCCCCAATCCCCAATGTCCCCAACGCCCCCCAATGTCCCTGATGCCTCCTGCTGTCCCCAACTCCCCCCGCTGTCCCCCGTTGTCCCCAACGACCCCTGTTGCCCCCCAATGTCCCCAACACCTCTGTTGTCCCCCCAACACCCTCAATGCCCCTAACGTCCCCTGTTGTCCCTGCTGTCCTTCCACTGTCCCCAACACCCCAAAGTCCCCAACACTTCCTGTTGCCCCCAATGCCCCCAACACCCCCCAGTCTTCAACCCCCCCAATGTCCCCAATACCCCCATTGCCCCTCAACACACCCACTGCCCCCCATTGCTCTCCACTGTCCCCAACACCCCCTGTTGCCCCCGTGCTGTCCCTGGTGTCCCCAATGTCCCCAGTGCCCCCCGTGCTGTTCCCCCACTGTCCCCAACTCCCCCATTGCCCCCACTGTCCCCAGTGCCCCCCGTGCTGTCCCTCTCCTGTCCGCAACCCCCCCCAATGTCCCCCAACGCCCCCTGCTGCCCCTGTTGTCCCAAATGCCCCTTGTGCTGTCCCTCTGCTGTCCACAACGTCCCCTCTGTGTCCCCACTGTCCCCATTGTCCCCCGCTGTCCCCAATGCTCTCAGTGTCCCCAACGCCCCCTGTGCTGTCCCCGCTGTCCCCAACTCCCCTGTCTCCCCCGCAGGCCCCGCCCGGCACCCGCCATGGCGCAGACGCTGCAGATGGAGATCCCCAACTTCGGGAACAGCATCCTGGAGTGCCTGAACGAGCAGCGCCTGCAGGGGCTCTTCTGCGACGTCTCGGTGGTGGTGAAGGGCCACGCGTTCAAGGCGCACCGCGCCGTGCTGGCCGCCAGCAGCTCCTACTTCCGAGACCTGTTCCACAGCTCCAAGAGCGCCGTGGTGGAGCTGCCGGCTGCCGTGCAGCCCCAGAGCTTCCAGCAGATCCTCAGCTTCTGCTACACCGGCAGGCTCAGCATGAACGTGGGGGACCAGTTCCTGCTGATGTACACAGCGGGCTTCCTGCAGATCCAGGAGATCATGGAGAAGGGCACCGAGTTCTTCCTCAAGGTCCGCGTGGGGTTGGGGGTCAGGGTGGAGGAGGGAAGGGTGGATGTGAGTCCCATGGTGTTAGAAGGCTGATTTATTGTTATTTATATTATATTACATAATATAATATCACAACTATATTATATCATTACTATATTATATTAGTTATACTGTATTTAATTATTACATAATATACATGTAATATAATGGAAGGAGGAAATTATGAATCTGACTCCATGTTCTTGGAAGGTTGATTTATTATTATATTACAGTACATTTTATATATATATATAATATTTTTATTACGTGTATATAATATATTAATATAATATAGTACAATGTAGTATAATATAGTATAGTGTAGTATAGTATAATACAGTATAACATAGTATGATATAATGTAATTTATTTGATTTTTTATTATATTACATTACATTATATATATTCTATATAATTATATACATTCTATTATACATATAATATAGTATAGTATAGTGTAGTGTAGTATAGTATAGTATAATATAATATAGTATAATATCGTATAGTATAATACAATAATACGTCAGCCTTCTAAGAACACGGAGTCAGCTTCACTCATTCCTCCCTCACCCTGGCGACCCTGCAAACCCAACAATTCCCTTTTCCTCTGAGCCTCCTCATCTCCCCCGCAGACAAACCCTGCACACAAACGATTTTCCCAGCAGACGGGGCACTGAGATCCCTCCGTTTGCAGGTGAGCTCCCCGAGCTGCGACTCGCAGGGGCTGCACGGCGACGACACGCCGGGCTCGGAGCCGCAGAGCCCGGTGGCGCAGACCTCGGCGGCGCAGGGCTGGCCGGCCGCGCTGCCGCTGGTGTCGCGGGTCAAGACGGAGCAGGGCGAGCCCGACGGCGTGCAGTGCACCTTTGTGGTCAAGCGCCTCTGGGACGGCGCCGCCAAGGACTCCTCCTCCTCCTCTTCCTCCTCGGCCGGCGGCAACAACGGCAGCAGGAAAATGGCCAAGTTCTCCGAGGCGGCGCCGCGCCAGAGCGCGCCCGGCGCCGCTGCCGGTGCCGGCGGCGGCGCCACCCCGGTGCCGGTGCCGGCCCCGGTGCCCGGCACGGCTGCGGACCAGACCAGCCCCGGGGGCACGTCCAGCGCCTACACCAGCGACAGCCCCGGCTCCTTCCACAACGAGGAGGACGAGGAGGAGGACGCGGGCGAGGAAGGCTCGGACGAGCAGTACCGGCAGATCTGTAACATGTACACCATGTACAGCATGATGAACGTGGGGCCTGCAGGTATGGGGGGGTCCTGGGGGGGGGCTTTGAGAGGGTCTGGGGGCGTCCGGGGGGGTCTGGGGGTCCTGAGCGGATTGGGGGGCTCACTGGGGGATTGGGGGTCTCTGGTGTGTGAGCAGTACCGGCAGATCTGTAACATGTACGCCATGTACAGCGTGATGAACGTGGGGCCTGCAGGTATGGGGGGGTCTGGGGGCTCTGGGGAGATTGGGGGGCTCTGGGGAGGGTCCTGGGGGGTCCTTCGGGATGGGGGTGTGGCTGTGGTGGAGACCCCGCCCTGTTTGAGGCATGGTTAGAACGTGTGGGTGTGGCCTGGTAGGGCTCTATGTTGTCCTGTGCCCCTCCCATTCCTATGTCACCCCCCAGAATTTTCAAGCTGAGCCCCCCCTCCCCACCACAAGTGACACCACAAAGGTGACACCTGAGGGGTGCCAGGGACCCCCAAAGCCCCCTCCCCACCGCACACAGAGCTCCATTTCCACATTCCCCCCTCCCCAGCGGCAGAGAAGGTGGAGGCCCTGCCCGAGCAGCCCCCCCCGGAGCCCCGGGCCCGCGCCCGCCTGCGCCAGGACCTGGCATCGCTGCCGGCCGAGCTCGTCACCCAGATCGGGAACCGCTGCCACCCCAAGCTCTACGACGAGGGCGACCCCGCCGAGAAACTGGAGCTGGTCACCGGTACTGGGACAAACTGGGGTGGGGTCACACAGGGATTTGGGGTTGGCTGGGTTTGGGGAGGCTGCTGAGTCGGGCAGGAGCCTTCCCTGGAATGGAAAATATAGAGCCCCTACCCTCAGAACTGCTATAAAACTTAAATTCAAATTATAAAATTTAAAATATATTTTTATTTTAATTTTTTTTTTTAAATTTGTTTTATAATTTAAATTTTATAAATTTTAAAACCTCCCCTCCGTCCGAGCAGAGCATCTCCCAATGGGATGTAGTTAATAGGATACAATATAACACAATGTAATACAATGTAGCACAATGTAGTACAATGTAACACATAATACTGCATAATGTAACATAACTCAATGTAATACATATATATATATATATATATATATATATATATATATATATATATATATATATATATATATGTTTCTTAACAGAAGCCAATTGCCACACAGAGGGCAAATAGAATACAAAATATGCAAATATGCAAATTTTGCTGTGCAATCTGGGCCAGAGGACCCCCCTGACCCCCCTGTGCCCCCTGTTCCCAGGTACCAACGTGTACATCACGCGGGCCCAGCTGATGAACTGCCACGTCAGCGCGGGCACGCGGCACAAGGTGCTGCTGCGCCGCCTGCTCGCCTCCTTCTTCGACAGGTGAGCCCCCCAGGGGTGCCCCCCGCCCTGAATTGGGGTCTCAGAGGGGTTTTTTTGGGGTTCCAAACGGGTGTTTTGGGATCTGGCAGGAACACGCTGGCCAACAGCTGCGGGACGGGGATCCGCTCGTCCACCAACGACCCCAGCAGGAAACCGCTGGACAGCCGGGTGCTGCACGCTGTCAAATGTGAGTGGGGGGCTCAGGGGGACAGCCGGGTGCTGCACGCTGTCAAATGTGAGTGGGGGGCTCAGGGGGACAGCCGGGTGCTGCACGCTGTCAAATGTGAGTGGGGGGCTTGGGGGGGTCTGGAGGACTCTGAGGGGATGGGGGAACCAGGCAGGGGGGGCTCAGGGGATGGCAGAAATGGGGGGGAAAGGGGGGGGATAGGAGTGACCCTAGAGAGGGGAACAGGAGGGACTCAGGGAGGGAACAAGGGGGGGACAGGAGGGACCTCAGGGGGACCCCAGAGAGGGAACAGGGGGAGCAGGAGTGACCTTGAGGAAGAGACAAGATGGGACAGGAGTGATTCGAGAGAGGGCACAGAGGAACCCCAGAGAGGCACAAAGGTGGCCCCACCGAGGCACTGCCCCACAATTCCCACCCAAATCCAAACCTGGGGTGCCCTGGCTGCCCCCTGACCCCGTCCCCACGTGTCCCCCCCAGTTTAGTGCCAGAACTTCGCTCCCAACTTCAAGGAGAGTGAGGGACAGGGGGCACCCCAGAGAGGGGACAGGAGCGACCCCAGGGCCTGAGACCCCTCCCACCAGACTCGGGGTGCCCTGGGGTCCCCCCTGACTCCATCCCCACCCGTGTCCCCCCCAGTTTACTGCCAGAACTTCGCGCCCAACTTCAAGGAGAGCGAGATGAACGCCATCGCGGCCGACATGTGCACGAACGCGCGGCGCGTGGTGCGCAAGAGCTGGATCCCCAAGCTGAAGCTGCTCATGGCCGAGGGCGACTCCTACACCTCCTTCATCAACGACACGGGCAAGCTGGAGCCCGAGCTCATGGGCCCCGAGCCGCCCTTCGAGGCGGGGGGGCCCGAGCCCGAGGGGGGGCCCGCGGGGGAGGGGCTGCAGTGACCCCCCCGAGCCCCCCCTTCCCTGGGGATGGACCCCCGAAATGGGGGGGGGATTCTGCCCTGAAATGGGGGGGGGGGCAGTGACCCCCCCACACCCCCCCTGAGCCCCGCCCCCCAAAATGGGGAGGGGATTCTGCCCTAAAATGGGGAGTGCAGCTCCCCTCCCCCAGCCCCCAATAGGAGTAGGGACCCCTCCCCAGACAGGTGAAGGGTGTAGGGACCCCCCCACCCCCCATCTGGGGACCCCTCCCCATAGAAAGGGGGAGGGTCCCATCAACAAGGGACCTATGTGGTTTAGGGACCCCTCCCCTCACCCCAGATGGGCACTCCCAGGGGCAGGGACCCCCCCCCCCTCATGGGCAGGGACCCCCCCTCAAGGGCAGGGACCCCACGTTGAGGCCCTGGTGGGTCCCGTGTACCCCCCCCCCCCAGAATTTGGGGGTGTTTTTGTGTGTGGGGGGGGGAAGCAGCAGCCTCTCGGCACAAGCGCAGCTGCCCCCCCCCCCCAGCATTCGGGGGGGCCCAAAGGGGGGTCTGGGGTCCTATGCCCCCCCCAGGGCTCCCCCATTCCCCTCCAGGCACCCGCATGTGTGTCCCCGTCCCCCCTCGTGTCCCCCCCCACCCCAGGGACCCCCCCATGGCTCTGGGCAGCCCCCCCCGCATGTGTCCCCCCCCCCCCTCCTCGGTAACCTATGTGACCCCCCCAGGTGTGTGTCCCCAGGTGTGTGTCACAAAGTGGGGGGGGGTCTCACCTGTCTGTGTCCCCCCCCCCAAATTGGGAGGGGTCTCCTTTTATTGCCCCCCCTCTCCATGCTGGGGGGGAACACTGTGTGTGACTGGGGTGGGGTTTGGGGGGGTGGGAGGGACACCCTGAGTGGGGGAGGCGGGACGGAGGGACACCCCCCCCTCCCTCCCCAGGGCTTGACTCCGAAAGGGGAAACTGAGGCACGGTTCGGTGGGAACCCTCCTGGGATTGTTGGGGGGGTCACCAGGACCCCCCCCCTCCTGCTCAGCCCCGGGGGGGTCCGGAGGTGTCCCCAGGTGTGTCCCCTCCCCCCCCATTGCCCCTCCCCCCCCCCAGGTCTCCTGACGTTTGGTCAAGTGCCTTACCCGCCCCTCCCCCCGCGCTCCCTCCGCGTCTCCGCTGCCCCCCCCGCCCCCCCCAGCACGGGGTGGGGGCGCAGGGACCCCCCCCCAACCCCAAACCCCTCCCCCCCCTCTACGGCCTGGGTTCCCCCTTTCACCCCCCCCCATCCCCGTGCCTCAGTTTCCCCTTTTTCCTCCCGAGTAAGGGGAGGGGTCTCCCTGCTGTCCCTCGCCCTCCCCAAAATCGGGGTCCATCTCCTCGTTCTCCCCCTTCCCCTCTCGTTGCTGTACAGAATTTGGGGGGTGGGGGGCGCATGGACCCCCCCGAACCCCGTGCTTGGCTTTCCCGGGGACCCCCCCCCCCCCAGTGTCTGTCCTGTGTAATGAAGTGCCAAGACCTCCCCCCCCCCATCCCGGACACCCCCCAGGGGCCCTTCTGGAGCGCCCCCAGACCCACCAGGACCCCTCCCCACTCCGGGACCCCCCCCCAAAGCCCCCCCCGACGCTGGAGGTTGCACATGAACTGCTGTTGGGCGCGAGGGAGCGTGTGAATAGTGAAAATAAACACAGAGTTTGTAACAGCCGCGCCCCGGGACCCCCAAAAACGGCCCCGGGGGGTGGGAAAATGGGGGGGGGGGGGGCGCGAAAAGCCCCGGGGGGGGCGCGCAGGGGGTGGTTCCGCCCCTTTTTGCCCTTAAATGGGCAGGCGGAAGTGGGGTTCGCGCCTTCTCCGCGCGTGGCTCCGCCCCCTTCCCGTGGCGTCAGCGTTGCCTTATTTGGGCATGGAAGTGGCGGGGGCGGGGAGGGGATCCCCGGGTGAGGGGGGGGGATACGGGGGGCGCAGGGAGTCCACAAAAGAGGGGAGGGGGCGCAGGGACCCCCTTAATTCCTGAGGGGTCACAGGAGCCCCTCAAACACACGGGAGGGGGCGCAGGGACCCCTCCTCAAAATCATGACGGGGCATAGGGGCCCTTTCCCATCACATGGAGCGGCACAGGGACCCCTCCCCAACACATTGGGGACACAGGGACCCCCCAAACACACGTGGGAGGTACAGACAAAACATGGCAGGGACCGCACGGACCCCCCCAAAACCATGGGGAGCCCCCACCTTGGGCAGGACGGACCCCCCCCTCCCAATTTCCACAGGGACCCCAAATCCTTTGGGGGGTCTGGGGGGGGTACAGACTCGACCCCTCCCCGGGACACGGAGCCCCCACCCCCATTTCCGCCCCCCTAGCCCCATTTCCGCCCCCCAGCCCCATTTCCGCCCCCCCAGCCCCATTTCCGCCGCCGGCGCCTCCGAGACGCGGCGGGGCCGGCCCGGGGCCGGATGCGGTGGCGGGGCCGGGAGGGGCCCGGGGGGGGCTCGGGGCGGTCCCGGGGCCGGATGCGGTGGCGGGGGGGGCGCGGGGGGGTCAGGGCGGTACAAGAAGCGCGGCGGGGCCGTCCCGGAGCATTCCCGGGGCCGGGGCCGCCATGGAGGAGGCGCAGCGGCTGCTGACGGTGTCGGTGTGGAAGCTTTACCGGTGCCGGGTGCGGCGGGGCGGGCTCCGCCTGCACCGGAGCCTGCAGCTCTCGATGCTCGTTCGTGCCGCCCGACACCGGTACCTGAGCGCCCGAGCCGCCGCCGGGATCCTCCCGGGACTGGAGATTACCGGGAATGCGGTGAACGGAGCGACCCCGGTACCGGGGATTCACGGAGCTGCGGTGAACGGAGCGAGCCCGGTACCGGGGATTACCGGGAATGCGGTGAACGGAGCGACCCCGGTACCGGGGATTCACGGAGCTGCGGTGAACGGAGCGAGCCCGGTACCGGGGATTACCGGGAATGCGGTGAACGGAGCGACCCCGGTACCGGGGATTCACGGGGCCGCGGTGAACGGAGCGATCCCCGGACCGGGAGGCGGCCCGAGCGGGGACTCCCTGTGCCCGAACCCACCGAGCGCGAACCGGCCGGACCGAGCGATGAACCGGACCGAGCAGGAACGGGGGACCCCCCTCAGGGACTGCACCGGGGACCACCGGAACGCACCGAGCGGAGCCCCCCGCAGTGGGTGGTACCGGGGATGCGCCCCGGTACAACCGAGTGAGGAACCCCCGGGCCCCGCGAACCAGGACCCCCCTCCCGCCGCCCCCGGCCCTCCCCGGCCCACCGGAGCCCCCCGGGCCGGGCAGAAGCGGCGCAGCAGCGGCTCGGCGGGGCCGGGCCGGGGGCCGGTACCGAGCAAACGGGCGCGGCTGGAGGCGGAGGCGCCACCGGGGCCGCCCGGGCGCTGCTCGGGGCCGCCCGCAGCCGCTTTCGGCTTCCTGGTCCGCGCCGTCGGGGCGTGCTGAGCCCTCCGGGGAGCCCCGGGATGCGGAAATTAACGGGGATCCCCCACAAACACATGGAACCGGTTCTGGAAGCCCCCGGGACACGGAACTTAACGGGGATCCCCCCCGGGACACGCGGGCATTAAGGGGGATCGCCCCGGGACACACGGAAGCGGTTCTGGAAACCCCCGGACACACGGAAATTAACGGGGATCCCCACGGGACACGGAACCGGTTCTGGAAACCCCCGGACATTAACGGGGACCTCCCCGGGACACGCGGATCCGGTTCTGGAAACCCCCAGGACACGCGGACATTACCGGGGATCCCCCAAACTGCTGCGGGCCCCGCCCGGTGGAACGGAACCGGACACGAACGGACTCTCGGGACTCCCGGTGGGACATTCCCCCCTCCTTTCCCCCTCGTGCTTGGGGGGGTTCAGGCTGGCCCTGCCCCCGCCCTCCGTTAATTGTGCTTAATTACTATTTTGTTAATCAATTAAAAGTGGGTTTTGTGCAGCCGCTGCCTCGGGGGAAGTTTTTTCTTGGGGGGGGGGGGGGACGGACCCTCCTCGATTTGGGGAGGAACAGAGGCAATTTGGGGTTGGGGGGTTCAGGGGGTCCTCGGATGGGTCGGGGGGGCTCGGTCCGAACCAGGGGGGGGAAATCCGGACCCCTGCCCGCCCCGCCTTTTCCTGCTTCGGTTTCCCGGGGGCGGGAAGGGGGGAAGGGGAATATCCGGTACCGGGGGCGGGGGAACCACCCGGGAAACCCCCCCCCCCCCCCGGTTCCGGTTCCGGTTCGCTCCGCGCGGGGTTACCGGGAGGTCACGGGGGGGCTCCGGGCCCGCGAGGGCGCCTCCCCTCCCCCTCCCCGGTGTCCCATCCCCCCCTCCCGGTGCCCCCCCCCCCCCCTCCACCCCGATCCCGGGAAGGAGCGAGACGGGCTCGATCCAAAATTCCTTTTTTTTTTAATGGTTCTGGTTTGGGATTTTTCGGTTTTTTTTCGGGTTCGGTTTGGTTTTTTTGTTTTTTGTTTTTGTTTTTTTTTTCTTTTTTTTGCCTTTTTTTGTCTTTGATCTTTTATTTCTCGGTTTTCGGTAACTCGGTTCATGCAATGGCGGCGGCCCCGGTTCCGCCGCCTCCGTGCCTCGGGCCGGGGGGGCCGGTGTCTGTTCCCGGTGTTCCCGGTGCCCGGTCCCGGTGCCTGGCAGCGGTTCCCGGTCCTGGTGGCGGTTCCCGGTCCCGGTGCCGTTCCCGGTGTTCCCGCCGTTCCCGGTGGCGGTACCCGGTGTTCCCGCTGCCCATCCCGGAGCCTCCCGGGCTCCGCTCCCGTCCCGGCGGCTCCTCCCGGCCGGGGGGGGGGTTCGGGGGGTCCTGGGGGAGTCTCGGGGGGGGTCCCCGGCTCCGCCCCCCCCGCGGCGGCGGCGGCGGCTCCTCCAGATGATAAAACTCATCCAAATCCCCGGGAGCGGGCGGGGGGGCGCGGTGCGGGCGGCGGCTTCCACCCCCCTGGCCGCGACGCGCCGTCGCAATACGTCGGCTCCGTGCGCGCCCTGTCGCGACACGCCGCTAGCAGCAATCATCGTCCGTCTCGCTGTAGGGGTCGCGCGGACCGGGCCGCCCCTTGCCGGTGCCGCCGTGGCCCGGGTAGTACCCGTTGGGCAGCCGCCGCCCGGGCCGGGGCGGGGACGGGCCGGCCCCGCCGGGGGTCCCGGGGCCGCGGGGGGCGCGGGGGGCGCGTCCGTCGGGCGGCGGCGGCGGCTCGGCGTCGCGGGGGGGCCAGCGCGAGGCGGCGGCGGCGGGGCCGGGGCGGGCGGGGCGGGGCTCGGCGGGCGGCGGGGGCCGGCGGGGGCCGCGGGCCGGGGGCGGCGCGGCGGGCGGGGGGCGGCGGGCGGCGGGCGAGTACGAGACGTGGGGCCGAGGAGTGGCGGGGGTCGGCGGGAGCTGGCGGCGGGCGCGGCGCGGGGTGCTGGTCCCGGACGTGGAGAGCACCGGGCTGCCGCTGACCGAGCTGCTGCCCTGCGGCGACAGCGACAACGGCGGTGGCACCGGGGGGACACGGGGGATCGTGGGGACATCGTGGGGACATCATGGGGGCACCGGGCGGGGGAGAGAGGAAGGGAAATGGGGACCCCGCGGGGGAGGGGGACAAAGGGGAGCGGAAGGGACACGGGGGTGGCACTGGTGGGGGGGACACGGGGACATCGTGGGGACAGCATGGGAGGGGGAGAGAAAGGGAAATGGGGACCCCGTGGGGGTCGCAGCCGCGGAGGGAGACAAAGGGGAGCAGAAGGGACAAAGGGGTGTCAGCGGGGAGGGCACGGGGGGAGACACGGGGACATCATGGGGGGGGCAGGAAGGGAAATGGGGACCCGGGGGGGTGGGGGTCGCAGCCGCGGCGGGGGGGGGGGAACAGAGCCACGAGCCGTGCAGGCGCGGGGGGGGCACAAAGGGGAGCGGAGGGGACACGAGGGGGGGGGCGGGGGCGCAGGGTCCCCTCAAAAGCGCTCGCAAGGCAAAGCTCGGGGTTTGGGGGTGGGGGGGGCAGCTGGAGAAGTTTGGAAGAGTCAGCCCCAGGGAACCCCAAATCTGGGGGTCCTGGGGGGGCGTTACCCCCCAATTGTTCCGTGAGTTTGAGGGGCTGTGAGCCCATGATGCCAAGCTGGGGGAGGGCTGGGGACCCCCAATTCAGACATTTGGGGGGGTCCGTGCTCTTTGAATTGAGGGGGTGAGGATCCCAGACCCATCTCAGGGTGTGTGTGGGGGGTCTGTGAACCCCCAAATCTCAGCACAGGCTCTGTGCCCCCCCCCGGACTATGAGGGAGCCCCCAGACCCAGCTTGAGGGGGGCAATAAATGAGGGGGGGGTCACCCCAAAACATCCCAGGGTGGCCAAGCGGCTCCTCCTGGAGTCTCAGCCAGGTTTTTTTTTTGGGGAGGGGGGGGATTCTGGAAATTTTCGGGGGGGCAGCTTCGTTCCAAACTTTCCAGGGTGGCCGGAGGAGCCTGGGGGGGCCGGAGCAGATTTTTTTTTTCTTTTTTTTTTTTTTCTGGGGGGGCCCCGAGGCGCTTACCTGGGCCACCCCTCGCCGTGACAGCGCAGCCAAAGCACAGCCATGGGGAAACAGCAGAGAGGTGAATCAAGGCAGGACCCCCCCCCCCCAAAATAAAGCAGCCGAAAATGGGGGGGGGGGGCAAGCGAGGGAGGGGGGGAGGGGCTGAGAGCAGGGGGCGGGAGGGGGCGCATCCGGAGATCTGGAGGGGTCGAAGCGTCGCCGCCGCCCCCCCCCAACCCCCCCCAAATTCCGGGGGAGGGGGGGAGTTTACTTGCCCCCCCCAAAACGACCTCCCATTGGGTGGTGCCGCTCCTGGCGGGGACTGGACCCCCGAGGAGGGGGGGTTGGACCCCCCAGGTGGGCACTGGACCCCCCCAAGGAGGGGGGGTTGGACCCCCAAGTTGGGCACTGCTGGACGCCCCCCCCAAGGTGGGCACTGAATGCCCCAGATTGGGGGAGGGGAACTGGACCCCCCCAGGGGGGCTCTGCTGGTGTAACTGGGACACCCCCAGTCCCAAACTGGGCGAGGCAGAACGTGCGGGGCGGGGGGGGGAGCGCTGGGACCCCTCTCACCCAAAGAGACCCTCAGAGAGATTTTAGGGGGGGGGTCGCACAGTTCCCCCCCTCCCCATTTTGAGCACCACCCAAAGGTCGGGGGGAGGGGGGGGATTATTTTTGGGGGGGGTCTTTGGTTGAATCCACTGGGGGTGCAGCCCTTGTGTCCCCCCTCCCCAAATGGCGGGCAGGGGGGGTTCAGAGGCGGAGGGGGGGGGAGCGGAGGGGGGGCGCACCCACCTGCCGGGGGGGTCCCGCGTGTTCGCGGCCCTCGCTGGGCGAGCGGGACCAGCGGCGCTCGCGGGACCGGGGCCGCCCGTACTCCTGGGGGGGGGGCGCGGCGGGGGGGGGCGCGCAGCGCTCCCGGTGGTGCTCGGGGGGCCCCCCCCCGGCGGCGGGGCCCCCCCCGTGGTGGTGGTGGTGGTGGTGATGGTGGTGGTGGTGCCGGTGCCGCCGGTCCTTGGGGCGGCCCCGCTCGGGGTCCCGCTCTTTTGGGGGGGGGGCGTCGCCCCCGGACTGCGTGGTGAGGCTCAGGTCCGTGCCCAGCCCTGGGTGGGGGGACACACACACGGGGGGGTCATTGAGGGACCCCCAAAAGTGGGGGGAGACTGGGGGAGGGGTTGGGGATTTGGGGAATTTCCCAAAATTGGGCATTTGAGGAGGTCTGGGGGGGATTTGGGATTTTCATGGCGTTTTTTGGGGTCCCCCCGATCTGGGCCACCGAGCAGCCTCGGGTGACACCAGCAGGTGACACGGGGGGACACCAGCGACCACAGAACCCCCGACGGACCCAAAGCCACCCCAGGGACACGCGGGACGGGGTTGGTGACACTGGGGGGGGTGGCACTGGGATGTCCCCCCACAGGTGACACTGGGGGGGGATGGCAGCGGGATGTCCCCCACAGGTGACACTGGGATGGCAGCGGGATGTCCCCCCGGGTGACACCGGGCTCGCACCTGTGTCGCCGTCCGTGTAGCGGCTGAGGGAGCGCTCGGAGGCGCGGTGGCCGCGGTGGCCCCGGCGGGGGTGGTGGCGCTGCCCGTCCTCGGTGGGGGGGACGCGCTCCAGGCTGAAATCGTCCAGGCGGACGCCGCGGGCGCGGGGGTGGCCGAGCAGCGAGGCCGAGCGCTTCATGGGGCTCGAGTCCGCGATGGTCTGCGCGACACCGGCAATGGCACCGCGGGGACGGCGCGGGGACAGCGGGGATGGGGCGGTGGGGGGCTCCAGGGTGGGGTTACCTGTGTGCCCTCCCCGGGTGTCCCCTCGGGCCCCCGGATTTGTCCCCATGCTCGTCCCCCTGCCCTCGGTGGGTGGCGCTGCGCTGGGAGGGACGCGGTGCTGTCACCGTGTCCCCACTGTGTGTCCTCATTGCCATCATGTCCCCATTGTCATCGTGTCCCCATTTTCACTGTTGTCCCCATTGTCATCATGTCCCCATTGCCGTC